GGGTAGCACTAGCTAGCAGTTCTCACTGGGGACAACTCCCGTCTACACCCACCCGTTGGTGTGTGCTCCTGGTGCTAGGTGTGGCTAAGCTCTCGCTTGGAGATATTGTGACCAGTGCTGCTATGACATTTCTTGTGTGACTTGTACAGAACTCACGTGTACATTTTTCTTGCATATGTAGGAGGTGTTCTGTACTTATGCACACGCGGGCTCTAGCAGGTAGAGCCATGTGGATATGCCAACTGATTCTCCAGCCAGCAGGAAATGAGGGTTCATATCCTCACATATACTTAGGATTGCCATTTAAAATGGTTTTTAAAGAACTATTTATTTTATTTATTATTATGATTTTTTTTAATTTGCCAGAGAGAGAGGAAAAGTGAGAAAGCAAGCTGCCAGGCCTGGGACTCGAACTGTGATCAACCCTGTGGGAGTCCAGTGCCCTAGCCACCATGGTGCCTTCTGGCCTCTCTGTATTTAAAATATTTAAAAACCATTTTAGAGGATGTATGGAATATCTCTACTTCTGACTGATGAAATTGATAATCATTTTATTTTTATAATCATTTAAATATCTTCTTTTGTAAAGTACCTATAAAAATTCAACTCATTTTCTACTTAGTTATCTGCTCTTATTAATTTATTGTGTATTCAGGATTTTAGTCCTCTGTCATATGTATGTATCTGTCATATGTTTCCTGTGGTGGATAATGGTGTCATCTGATAAACAGACGTACATTTTTCTTAAAACATTTTTAAAGTTATTATTTAAGTTTTCTTTATTTATTTTGAGCAGAGAGAGGAATAGCGAGAAAGGAAGCCACCAGGTCCAGGACTCAAACCGTGGTCAGCCATGTGGGAGCCCAGTGCCACCTGCTGGCCCTGATGTTGTACATATTTTTAAGAGGTTTTTGCCTTAGGGTGCGTGCGCTCACCAGAGAGAGACAGAGAAAGTGAGAGGGAAAGTGAGAAATCGCTCCCTAGGAGGAATGGCCATGCACCAGTCCCTTCTCCATTCTCCTCCTAGGATCTTGGGCACAAATGCACGTGCACACACATATGCCCGGCATGAGTTTTAAGCCACCGGGCCTGGGACTTGAACTGTAGTAGGCCAAGTGGGAGTCCAACAGCATAACTGCTATGCTCCAGAGGCTGTACATTTTTTTTTTGCGGGGGGAGAGGTTTTGCTATAGGGCGTGTACGCTCACCAGAAAGACAGAGTCTGTCTCTGGACTCTTCTGTCTCCTCCTTGCTGAGCATTATACTGAGCGTACGCCCTCCAGCCTGGTTTATTTCTTTACTTTTAGAATTTCATAATTGGCTCTTCAGCTTCACAAAGTTCCTCTGAGATTTGAGAATTGGCTTGACTCTGTAGATTAGCAGGAAGGAACTGAGAACATTCCATTTTGATGGTCCTGGTGTACGCCCACATTTTTGTAGGTTTTCTTTCTTTGACATATTTTGGTAGCTTGGGGTATAGTTTTTACATACTTTTCATTGTGTTTATGTCTAAGCATTTGTTGGCTTTGGTGCAATTATTAATGTCTTTTGAAATTTTCACTTTCTAATTCTTTGTTGCTGGATTTTACATATTGATATATTGAGCAATTTTATTAAATTCTCTTTATTAATTCTAATAGGTTACCCGTAGAGTATTTTGTATTTTTATATAAACAGTATCATATCATTCTAAAATAATATTTTTATTTCTTCCTTGAAATCTTTTTCTTTCTTTTTTAGGCTTTTGCCATAGGGCATGTGCACACATCAGAAAGGAAAGAGACAGAGAGATACAGAAAGAGGGAAAGTGAGAAATTATCCCCTAGGGGGATGGCCATGCTGCAATGGCCATGCTGCAGTCCCTTCTCCTTCATACTCCTCTTGGGATTTTCAAGCCACTGGATCTAAGACGTGAGTCACAGTTGGCAATGTGGGAATCCAGCCATCTTAACCACCACATATCTGCTGGCCTCAAAATCTTTTGATTTTCTTTCTTTACTTTGTAATAGTTAAGACTTCTAGTACAGTGTTGAATGGAAATGATGATAGTAGACATGATTAGGGAACCAGCAGTTAGTGTAATGGCTATGTCGCTGGACTCCCACGTAGTTGACCGCAGTTCGCGTCCCAGACCCGGTGGCTTAAAACTCATGCCGGGCGCGTGTGCATGGGTGCCCAAGATCCCTAGAGGAGAATGGAGAAGGGATTGCGGCTTGACCATCCCCCCTGGGGTGTGATTTCTCGCTTTCTGTCTCTATGTCTCTCTCTGTCTGTCTGGCGAGTGCACGCGCCCTACAGTGAAAATCTCTCCCCCCCCAAAAAAAAATAGTAGACATGATTAGACATGATTACTCATCCCAGTCTCAGGAATGTTTTCAATGTTCCATGTTTAACTGTGACTTCTGGTGTGGAGTATCTATCAGATTGAGGAAGTTCTGTCCTACACCCGTGAGTTATCATGACGGGCGTTGACTTGAATCAGATGCCTTTCTTGTAAGCATCTACCAAAATAATGACACGACTTTTCTCCTCTATTTTGTTAATGTAAATGACACTGAGCAATTGAAGGGTGAGAACAAACTTAAATTTCAACCTTTTTGTGATGTATGTGCTATTTTATATAACTCCATTCCTTTCACTAATATTTTATTTAGGAATTTTGCATCTCTGTGCATGAGAGAGAATTCAACCTGTGATTTTTTCGTTTTAAATGTCCTCAGATTTTAAATGTCCTACAGATTCTGGTAGGTTGTGCTAGCTTCATAAAACTTGTTGGAAATATTCCTTCTTTTCCATTCCCTGGGTAAGACTAGTATTATTTCTTCCTTAAATATTTGGAAGAATTCTGCCTGGAAACTTTTTTGTGAGAAAGTTTTAATAATAAAGATTTTGTGTATTAGATCTTAGGACCATTTAGGTTTTCTATTTCTTCTTGTGCCAGTTTTGTACATTATACCTTTTCTAGGAATTTGAGTTTCTTGCTTAACCTGTCAAATTTATTGGCATTAAATTTCTCAAAAATCTCTGTAGAATCTGTCCTGATATTACCATTAATATCATTTATATTAGTAATACATACTTCTGTCTTGTCTTGATTTGTCTTGTTAAAAATCTGTTAAATTTCTCTCTTTCCTTCTTTCTTTCTTTTTTTTTTTTTTTAGGTTTTTGCCATAGGGCATGTGCACTCACTAGAGACAGAGGGAAAGTCAGAAATCACCTTCCAGGTGCAATGGCCATGCTGCACTTCCCTCTCCATTCTCCTCTCGGGATTTGGGGCATCCATGCTAATATGTCTGGCCTGAGTCCCAGGCAGCTGGGTTCAGAACCCTCATCATGGTCAGCCATGTGGGGATCCCTCTCTTCAACTACCACTTCACCTACTGGCCCCAAAGCTATCAATCTTTACAAAAATTCATTTCCGGTTTATTTATGTCTTTCCTTTTCTGTTCGACTTAATATGCCGTTTCCTAATTTCTTCAGGTTGATAACTGACATAATATGCACATTTTCTTTTCAGTTTGGCTCTAGCTTTATCCTTTAAATTCCAGTTCATGTTTGCATTGCCATTTAGTTCAAAACATTTTTAAATTTATGTTACATTTTCTTCTTTGATCTGTCAATTATTTGCTTAATTTAGACACATCCGTGAATTTTCTCATGATCTTTTTGGTATTTTAGTATCATTTCTGGCTTAATTCCACTGAGTTACGACAACATGTTCTAGATTATTTCATTCTTAGGAAATGCATTTCCACTTGCTTCATGGCACAGTGTGTAGTCGTTTTGGTGGACTCTGTCATGGTCAGGTGTAGGAATGTAAGTGTATGCAATTAAGTCAGATTTGTTTATTGGGCTGTTGAGATTGTCCCTTAATGACTTGATTTTTGAGTCATTGCAAATGGTGTGGACATCTCTCACTGTGCTCACTGATTTGTCTGTCTCCCATTTCATTTGTGCGTTTTGCAGTTGCCTGATGTGCATCCAGGTGGGGCTTTGGTATGCGTTCCTGGAGAGGTGGCCTCTGTCTAGATGAGATGCCCGAAGTCCCTTTTCTCTAATAGCATGTGACTTGTCTGGTGGGACTTTGGTCCGTGCTCCTGGAGAGGTGCCCTCTGTCCAGATGAGATGCCTGAAGTCCCTTTTCTCTAATATCATGTGACTTGTCTGATGTTAGTAAGCACACCCATTTTCTTCTGTATCATATGTTATTTGTCATCCTTTCATTTTTAGTATTTTGGTGGCTGTATTTTTCTTTTCTAAGTGACATTTAGTTGGATTTTTATTTATTCATCCAGTCTCACAATCTTAGTTTTTTAATATGATAATTTAGATCACTTTCTGAAATGTGTGGGGTTTGATATCTACTGTCTTGTTATTTATTTTCTTTTACTCATATGCTTTAAATCCCTTTTTGTCTTCTCTTGGATTAATTAAAAATGTTTTGTTTCATTTTCACCCAATATTCGTTTGTTAATTTACCTCCTTTAACTAGAGTTCTAACAGTAAGTGTAATAAGTAAAACCAGTTTGTTACTATTCAAAATAAATATTTACTTCTAATAATTTCTAGACAAGGACTTATATAAACATTTAATAACATTTTCTTTCATCTTTTGTGTTATTTTTATTAGGTATTTTTGCTACGTATTTTAATTTTACATATATTTTCAGTTATGCTTAAGAATATAGTTATTATTTCATACTATCAGTAATACTTTTATTTACCCATATGTTTATTTTTTCCATTGCCTTTTTTTTTTCTTTTTTAGGTGTTTGCCACAGGGAGCATGCACTTGCTGGAGAGACAGGGAAAGACAATGAGAGGGAAAGTGAGAAATCACCCCCCAGGGGGATGACCATGCTGCAGCGCCTCCTCCATTCTCCTGGGATTTTAGGCATGCATGTACACACATTGTTTGGTATTATTAACAGGCTCATCATCTCATCCCACGTAGTTGTTTACTAGGATAAAAAGATATTTCTATGTTGAATGTCTTTCAGACTGGATGGCTATGTCTGAGAGTAAGAAATCTACTCTCCAGGCAGACACTCCTGAAGAATTGGACCCATGGGCCATGAAGGGAAGACTCACTAGAGACACTCACTGGCATGGTGCCAGCCTGTGGGAATGGCAGCGTGGAGGCCAGGAGATCGGTTCACAGCAGGTGTTGCACAGTCACCAGAGCAGCCCTCTGGGGGCTGGTGAACAAGAAGGTGTTGAACCTGGGAAGGGCTGCCTCCTAGGCTCATCTCGTGTTCAAGGTCAGGAATTTCAACCAAACAGAGAAGCCTTTGAGTGCAATGAGTGTGGGAAAGTCTTCTTGAAGAGTGCCACCCTTAGTAAACATCAGAAAACCCATACTGAAAAATGTCATGCAAGTCAGAAAGCTCATATGAAAGAGAAACGATATGAGTGTAGAGAATGTGGGAAAGCCTTCCACCAGAGTACACACCTGATCCACCACCAGAGGGTTCACACTGGCGAGAAACCTTACGAGTGTAAGGACTGTGGCAAGGCCTTCTCCGTGAGCTCCTCACTTACCTACCATCAGAAAATCCATACTGGAGAGAAGCCCTTTGAATGCAATTTATGTGGAAAAGCTTTCATCCGAAACATCCACCTTGCCCACCATCACAGAATACATACTGGAGAGAAACCTTTCAAATGTAACATCTGTGAAAAAGCCTTTGTGTGCAGGGCACATCTTACCAAACACCAGAATATCCACAGTGGAGAGAAACCCTATAAATGTAGTGAATGTGGGAAAGCCTTCAGTCAGAGCACGAGTTTTCTCCAGCATCAGAGAATTCACACTGGGGAGAAGCCCTTTGAATGCAACGAGTGTGGGAAGGCCTTCAGGGTGAACTCTTCCCTTACTGAACACCAGAGAATTCATACTGGAGAGAAACCTTATCAGTGTAATGAGTGTGGCAAAGCCTTCAGGGATAATTCATCCTTTGCACGGCATCGGAAAATTCACACTGGAGAAAAACCTTACCGATGTGGTTTGTGTGAAAAAGCCTTCAGGGATCAGTCAGCCCTAGCCCAGCATCAGAGAATCCATACTGGGGAAAAACCTTACACGTGTAACACATGTGAGAAAGCCTTCAGTGACCACTCAGCCCTTACCCAACATAAGAGAATTCACACCCGAGAGAAACCTTACAAATGTAAGATCTGTGGGAAAGCCTTTATCCGCAGCACACACCTCACTCAGCACCAGAGGGTCCACACGGGGGAGAGACCCTACAAATGTAATAAATGTGGAAAAGCTTTCAACCAGACCGCAAACCTCATCCAGCATCAGAGACATCACACTGGAGAAAAGTGATGTGAGCGCAGTATACGTGCAGGGCATTCAGACTGAGGATGGGAGACGCCATGCTGCAGGAAGACTGGACACGTACGTTCTTTGCTAAGACTCAAGCTTCACGGTAGCTCGGGTGAGAATTTCATTTATAGGGGCTGGGAGTTTAAGAACGGCCAGTACCCCTCATCGCCCAGTACAAATAGCAGTCCTGTGTGCTTAGCCTGAACCAAAGTGCAAGAACCAAAATGGAGCTTCATCAACATAAAATTGGTTTAGCAAATTTACATTTTGACTATTAGAAGAAATGATAAAGCTGTAGAAGTTAAGGATGAGAAGCAAAGGAACAAAATGGTGAAATGATCTATAAGCATTTCCCTCTACTAGATTCTCTTAGACGAGAGTCCCACACACACCTTTTTTTTTTTTTTTTGTCATGGGGCACGTGCACTTGCCAGAGAGAGACAGAAAGCAAGAAATCACCCTTGGGGGGGATGGCCACACCATAATCTCTTCCCCATTCTCTTCTCAGGATTTTGGGCATGCACACACATGCATCCAGCATGAGTTTCAAGCAGCCAAGTCTGGGACTTGAACCACTATCGACCACGTGGGAGTCCAGTGCCTTAACCACTACACCACCTGCTGGCCTGGGAGTTTCCACCTTTAATGGAACTCTCAGTTCTCTCCTTGCCCTCGCTCCTGACACCCAGTGTAAAGAAAGTACAGTCACTTATGCATCAGCCCAGGGGTATTGAAATTATGCTTCTCACCCTGTTTAAGACCACCCTTTGTCAGATCTCCGCAGGCTGCTTGCCTACGTTCTCTTTGATGAGCAGTTTATTTGAGGGTCTGACCCTCCTCTGACTCAGAAGCTCCTAAGTGTTGGCATCATGTCCCTTGTTACTGGCATACCACCCTTTGTGGGTGTGGTTGCTGATCTCACCACAGTCCATCATTCTGAACCAAACAGAGAAGCCTTTGAGTGCAATGAGTGTGGGAAAGTCTTCTTGAAGAGTGCCACCCTTAGTAAACATCAGAAAACCCATACTGAAAAATGTCATGCAAGTCAGAAAGCTCATATGAAAGAGAAACGATATGAGTGTAGAGAATGTGGGAAAGCCTTCCACCAGAGTACACACCTGATCCACCACCAGAGGGTTCACACTGGCGAGAAACCTTACGAGTGTAAGGACTGTGGCAAGGCCTTCTCCGTGAGCTCCTCACTTACCTACCATCAGAAAATCCATACTGGAGAGAAGCCCTTTGAATGCAATTTATGTGGAAAAGCTTTCATCCGAAACATCCACCTTGCCCACCATCACAGAATACATACTGGAGAGAAACCTTTCAAATGTAACATCTGTGAAAAAGCCTTTGTGTGCAGGGCACATCTTACCAAACACCAGAATATCCACAGTGGAGAGAAACCCTATAAATGTAGTGAATGTGGGAAAGCCTTCAGTCAGAGCACGAGTTTTCTCCAGCATCAGAGAATTCACACTGGGGAGAAGCCCTTTGAATGCAACGAGTGTGGGAAGGCCTTCAGGGTGAACTCTTCCCTTACTGAACACCAGAGAATTCATACTGGAGAGAAACCTTATCAGTGTAATGAGTGTGGCAAAGCCTTCAGGGATAATTCATCCTTTGCACGGCATCGGAAAATTCACACTGGAGAAAAACCTTACCGATGTGGTTTGTGTGAAAAAGCCTTCAGGGATCAGTCAGCCCTAGCCCAGCATCAGAGAATCCATACTGGGGAAAAACCTTACACGTGTAACACATGTGAGAAAGCCTTCAGTGACCACTCAGCCCTTACCCAACATAAGAGAATTCACACCCGAGAGAAACCTTACAAATGTAAGATCTGTGGGAAAGCCTTTATCCGCAGCACACACCTCACTCAGCACCAGAGGGTCCACACGGGGGAGAGACCCTACAAATGTAATAAATGTGGAAAAGCTTTCAACCAGACCGCAAACCTCATCCAGCATCAGAGACATCACACTGGAGAAAAGTGATGTGAGCGCAGTATACGTGCAGGGCATTCAGACTGAGGATGGGAGACGCCATGCTGCAGGAAGACTGAACACGTACGTTCTTTGCTAAGACTCAAGCTTCACGGTAGCTCGGGTGAGAATTTCATTTATAGGGGCTGGGAGTTTAAGAACGGCCAGTACCCCTCATCGCCCAGTACAAATAGCAGTCCTGTGTGCTTAGCCTGAACCAAAGTGCAAGAACCAAAATGGAGCTTCATCAACATAAAATTGGTTTAGCAAATTTACATTTTGACTATTAGAAGAAATGATAAAGCTGTAGAAGTTAAGGATGAGAAGCAAAGGAACAAAATGGTGAAATGATCTATAAGCATTTCCCTCTACTAGATTCTCTTAGACGAGAGTCCCACACACACCTTTTTTTTTTTTTTTTGTCATGGGGCACGTGCACTTGCCAGAGAGAGACAGAAAGCAAGAAATCACCCTTGGGGGGGATGGCCACACCATAATCTCTTCCCCATTCTCTTCTCAGGATTTTGGGCATGCACACACATGCATCCAGCATGAGTTTCAAGCAGCCAAGTCTGGGACTTGAACCACTATCGACCACGTGGGAGTCCAGTGCCTTAACCACTACACCACCTGCTGGCCTGGGAGTTTCCACCTTTAATGGAACTCTCAGTTCTCTCCTTGCCCTCGCTCCTGACACCCAGTGTAAAGAAAGTACAGTCACTTATGCATCAGCCCAGGGGTATTGAAATTATGCTTCTCACCCTGTTTAAGACCACCCTTTGTCAGATCTCTGTGGTCTTTCTGTGCACTGGCTTCTTGCCTACGTTCTCTTTGAGGGACAGTTTATTTGAGGGTGTGACCCTCCTCTGACTCAGAAGCTCCTAAGTGTTGGCATCATGTCCCTTGTTACTGGCATACCACCCTTTGTGGGTGTGGTTGCTGATCTCACCACAGTCCATCATTCTGGATATCACCCCCAAATGCAGCTTCCAGAATGTGGGATGTGTATTGTGAAGGCAAAGTGTGACCAAAGTGAGTTTCCCAGCCTGACTGACCCTAGGATGGTGCCTGAACGGGGGACTCGCCCATGTAGCCATCGCCCTCCGGTTGCTCTGCACCGTAGTGACTTACTCTGCATGCGTTAGGCAGGGGCACACTCGGCTTCGGCTGTGATGACCCCAACCACCTGGTTGCAGTCTAGCCACCTCGACTTCTCTGACTGGCCAGGTCCCAGTGCACAGTTTATGTAGGCGTGAGAGCCCCAAGGCTGTCCTCAATGCTCTGACCGACTTCCCTTCCTTGGCTGGACATCTTCTGTGTCCACTGCAGTATAGTGCTTGCTACTTCCAGGATACAGAGCCCTGCATCCCGCCCCTGGTCCTTTCGTTAGGTGTCCAGAGGTATGAGTTCTGTGTTCATAAGTGGGCAGAGAGCTTTGGGCTTCTACTTTTGCATCTGAAAGTGGTCATTTCCTCCCCACCTCCACTGCTGAAGAGACTTTGCCATTTGGGTAGTGGCAGTGGTAAGCAACCTTCGAGTCATTTTGTGAGTTAAGAGGTGGTCAGCACCATTCTGACGGGGCGGTGGCCATGCCCAGAAGTCTGATAAACTAACCCTTCAAGGACAATCCCCTTGTCGCTAATGCTTCGGTGACACACTCAGCCACTGGGGCACCCCCTTCTCCACTGCAAGGAGGGGGCTGTCTGGCAAGCACATGGGAGAGCAGAAGATGACTGTTCAGGGCTCTGGCTCGTGGAAGTGCTGTAGGTGGAGCCAGGTGACCTGCTGGCCCCCGGGGATGCTGCGCCCAGCTCCAAAGTTAGAGAAGAGGAGCTTCCGTGACATGGGGGCTCAGTGGACTCTAGGTGGCAACATAGGCTCAGAAGCTTCCAGCAGCTTCACAGCCCGACATTTGAGTTCAGTCCCTCATGAAGGCCGTGGCGGCGGCAGTCCACTAGTGAGCAGCAGCTCATGCTTCCTCCTGTTCACGGTACGTGACGCAGCGTTGCAAGAGGGTACTCGGACTGCCGCCGGGTCCGCTGCAGCCTCGAACTCCTGGCAACTCCAGCTTCCACTTACACCCGGAAACCTGTGCTCCCTGCAACAGCTGCCTGCCTTTGGTACCCACGGCCCACCAGGCCCCAACTGCCACCTCTTTACCTTAAATCCCCGGGAAACAGGTTTCTAGGCGGTTCTGTTCATTTTGTTCTTAATGGGTACATGGGAGGTGCTGCTGGGCGCGTCCTCCAGCTGAGCTAGGGCCGAGGCCTGCCGCTGGGAAGAGCCGCTCCACCTGGGCCCCGCTCCACCTGGGCCCCGCTCCCGGAATGACTGCAGGCCGCTTTCCTCACTTCCTCAGGCCTGGGTCCTCCGGGATGCTTATTGGTTCTCCCCTGTCTGGGGAGCCTAGAGGCCGATCAATTGCCTGTGAGGCGCCTGGGCCAAGGAGTCGGTTATAGTGTCTGGCCGGGCAGAGGCTCTCAGTTTGCACGAGGACCAGAAGCTCACTACACGGCCTTCCCGGGTAGGGGGCACGGCAGGCGTGGGAGCTGCTCGTACTTCGGTCCCCTGAAGCGGCGAGGCGGCTGGCCGGGGATCCTTCCCTGCCCCCCCACCCGG